ATGTTATTATTACAGATGACTTCCAAATTGATTAACCTTTACATATGTACCGTTAGTTTTGATAAGGAATCGCGAAATATTCGTTTATTGTTGAAATTGCAAAACTGCTTCTGGCGACTTAACTTGGCCTACGGGTTTTCTTGGGCCTAGTAGCCATTGAAACGCCACTATGATTCTCTTTGGCCTATCGAACGGAAAGGAAAGTGGACTCGGGTGCGCCTTTTATTTTCAAGAACAAAAGATGTATCTTATTTCGCGTTCTGCAACACTTAGTCTTGCAGCTATTGAATAGAAGCATCGGACCAAACGTTTGTTTGACACGTTCACGCCGAAATCATAGATAGGGGAAATGGATCTAATGTTGGCTTATGGATCTAAGATTGGTCCCATCGCTAAAAATCTGCTATTTATCGATTTCATCTAGATGAACGCGTCATTGGGACGGTACTAATGAATATTTTTGGTCACTATTGAAAAATTAGTCGATTGCTGCATTTATGTATGAGCCCAAATTAGGGGCATTTAGGCCGACAAAACATCCATTTCCCTGTGTAAAATTTTGATGTTATGTGCTCGATAGGCCGGGTATGGGCGATTAGGCCGAAGTAGATTTTTCCCCTACATTATTTGATCAACACCATATGAGTACTTAGCACTGATGAAGTCTGCAAGTAGTAGACGAAATACGCATATCAGTCAAAAGATAAGCAATTATAACGGAATTTAAAGGAAATAAACCAACCCACTCAAAGCTCTTCATAAAGGGATTCCGTTAAGAGGTTCGAAAAATTTAAAGGATCAAGAAACTTTGCTGAAAACGTCAACTCAAGTTGATGAAATCGTAGAGCGGTATTACTTTTTCCTGCTAGATTTCATTCCTGCCCACTGGTCATTGTAAGAATTGATTTTACATTTGTTGTAAGAAAAAAATGCAGAGATTGTAAGAAATCCGCAGTACATATGATGTTCATTCCGACTGAGTACTTACTACGCCCAGGAAGACTCCATTAGCTTAACTTAAATAATCTCCTAGCAATCAAACATCTGGACACTATCCAAGATAACATATCACCAAGACTGACCATTCTTACGCTGTTTTAAACAAATTATAAGAGATACTGAGGAACTAAGTCACCAGGTAGCTTCACATTGAAGTTTGCTCATTTTCTATGGGGTGGATCTACCAAGCATATGTCACTTAGATTCTGACATTGTTGGCAGTGTTCCTAATATACTGGATACGATGTTAAATATGCTACATTAGAATTGCAATAAAGCTTCCTGGACTTCCGCGAAGAACTCGCAATCCCACGCATTAACGCCCTGGCATACCTGGAATCACACCATGCGTTCTTATTTAGTAAACTCACACAACGACTGCTGCAGCAGCGCATATGGGGCGATAGAAAATCATATTTGAAGTAAAAAAATGTTCAACCCATATGCTCAAATCTCAAAGATTACTGAGTTATTGAGCTTTTTTTCTGTTTTGGTCTATGCTTGCCATAGATTGGCTCCATTTGGACAGCTTGGTACATTTCCTACTTAATAGTGTCATTTCTACTTTAGGTAAGCTGCATTTAGATACATTTTAGGGATAAACGAGTCTAAAATTTGTGCTTTCCTACGGGTTTTCCCTTATTATTTAAAAAATACGTAATAAAGTGGATTGTTCTGTCTAACCAAAAGATGCCTCTCATTGCGCTCTACAACACTCTCTTAGACGCTTGGCGATCAAAAGTGCTATGTGCGCTGCAAACAGACGTCAACAGCAACGCACGGTGGGGTTGAATTCGTGTTTTACGCAACCGTTAATTAACAACCCCACATGATGTGTTTAGTACGAAATTGCGACAAAACTAAACAAGATAGCAAATTGGTGTCAAAGAGAGAGGCATCTTTAAGTTAGATAAAACAATACATTTTACCACGTATTTTTTTTTAATAATAAGGGAAAAAAATGAAAAGGTAAGGTCCTAGACACGACCGCAGTATGACGTAGAACTACGCCAAATTCATGTATGTCATGCATTTTTGACTATTATACTTTATATTAATTATTTTTTTTCCAAAGTGTTTATATATTACTTCATACGCGAAGTTTGAGATTTGCAGATTTGGTTGGAAATGCTATCTAACATGAAGCCCGTATAACGATCATACGGGGTTTAATCATCTCTTTGTTCTTACTGTCTTATACCACGGATAAACCGACATGAATGACCATAGAAATGACCATCAAATTTCTGCTCAAAGCACACTACTGACGTCTGTCTCCGTGTTCGCGGAAAACGCTTATCTAAGCCACGAACACGCGTGCAAAATTTATGAGTTGATGCGTGTCTGATCTATTCTAGACAAGTCATTTTTATCGAGACACAAAATTTCTATAGTTTTGACCGATGAGATCGCTGCACATTTAAATCGGTCGTTATAGATTTTCGAGCAGAAGTTAAGTTTTAGCTTCATGTCGGTTTGTCGGTGCTACATATGTATCAACGAACGTTTCAGGGAATGTCGGCAGATTTTCCTCGCGTTTACGGGGAAGCTTTTCGGTGCTGCCAATGGATGTTCTGGGAAATTCTATGGCATTTTCTCGTGTTTTCGGTGGAGAAGCTTCTGCAAGATTCCGATGTTCCAATGGAGATTCCACGGAGTTTACTTGCTTTCTCGGTGGAGCAGATTTTGTGAAATATCGGTGGAGGTTTTCGATGTTGGCAGTGGAAGTTCTAGAGGGAGCTTTTGCACGATTTGGTTGGAGATTTTCGGTGCTGCTGGAGGAGGTTGCAGGGAGTTTTGGCGAGGTTTTTCTGTGTTCATGGAGAAGAGGCTACCACGCGGTGGAGACTTTTTATGTTACCAGCGGACGTTTCGGAGAGTTTCGATGGATTTTTCTAACTTTCTCGGTGGAGGAGGTTATGCATAATTTCGGTTCATCCACCAGCATTCCGTTTGATTAAACAAATTTCAATTACAATTACTTACAATAAACATAATATGCAAACATATGTAAACATAATTATGGGCCCATAAACAATCCTGCAAAATTTCAATGGCGTTTTCTTGCATTCTTGGCGGACGATGTTCCATACGGTTTCGGTGGCGATTTCTGATGCTGCCAGCGAAGATTTCAGGGTATTGGGTTCTTTAAGGGTTTAGCCTGGTACTCAGCTGAAAATTAATGACGTTTCTATGTGCTACTAAAACCCTCTAGTTAAAGTATGGACGACTGTCTCCACAAAACTGAAAAACGCTGTTCCAATTGAGCAAAGCAGTACATTTTTACGGTTCGATTGGAACAACTATTGACAGACGTCCATACTTTTACTGTAGGGCTTTACGTGCTACGGTATAGGACACAGAATGCTAAAGAAATTACTTTCCTTTAGCATTTCTTGACCCAGTACGCAGTTCTAAAGAAATCGGTAAAGAAAAGATCGATTTAATTGGTTTCGTGATCGACATGAAGGTGGCGCATTCTGAAAGTAATTTCACTTGCCTTGTGGAATAATGATCTGATCAATTATCCCGTTAGGTAATGTCGTTTATTGCAAAACTGATGTTTCGGATGCATTTTAACGACATAAACACTAATAATTGTTGATTTTAAAATTTTACGACACCTCGCTCTAATCTCAAAATTTAGCAGAAGGCACCTCCCATATAGCTGTCAAATTTTCTTTTGGGAAAAATCATCAAAAATTACTTTTCCGTTTTCTTTTCAGCTGCGTACTAGGATTATTGAGGTAAATGCATATTCGTAATCTGCATTAAAAATAGAACCGAAATCCAAAATTGCATCAATTTTAGTACGCTGGAACTATTATAGGTATGTGCTGTACCAAAACATCATCCACTATTCGAATAAAACCTCAGACCGTTCAAATCGATACATCGAAATCGCTTTTTCGAATGATAGCTGCATCTGTATGACGGTTGTTTTGTAATCAGATGATGCTCCTCTCTAACACAGGTTGAACCGAGGGTTGAACATTGATATGAGAAGTGAATAGACCTGTGAGCTGACAAACGAGGTGGTAACACCGACAAACCGACATGAATGACCAAAAAAATTACAAAGACATTTCTGATCAAAACACAAAACTGACATCTGCCGTCGTGTTCGCGGAAACTGTAAATCAAAATTGGAAAAGTTTTGATTTTAGCAGATTTGTTAAGTAATATCCTATCGATTGGTAAATTTGAATTTTAATTTCATCAATAAATGACAAAGCTACAAGCGTTCAAAACCTAACAGTATTTCACCGCACATATTTTTGATTTGCACCCCAGTATAGTAGTTCTACGTCAAAACAAGTTTTTGACTCGTGTATCCCTAAGATGTGTCTAAATGCAGCTTACTTAAAGTAGAAATGACACTACTGAGTAGGAAATTTTCCAATGGAGGCAAGAGTTTTGTGCTAAATTGTATAGTTTTCGAGTTAGAGCCAATTTATGGCAAGCATAGACCAAAACAGAAAAAGTTCAATAACTCAGTAATCTTTGAGATTTTAGCATATGTGTAGAACAATTTTTTACTTCAAATATGATCTTCTAACGCCTCTTAAATTATTTGCACTAAGGAACCGAACACCCTGTATAAATGTGGTTGCAATAAATCAAAATCATACAATGAGGATAATAGAATGCTTAATTTTGTTATGATAGTCAGTGATTACATTATGGTCGACCATAACATTCTGCTTAAACTTTAAAGCAATTGTCGATACACCGATCTGGCAACAATGTCTCTTAAGTATCGGACCGTAATAACAGTCGATAAAGGCGACACATTCTCCATTATGGACATTGCACCGAGCGTGACCACCATCTATGCACATATACAACCGATGGATGGACAGCGGTTATCCTGTGCGATCGTCTCCATGTGTGCGAGCATCTGTAATTAATGCTGCATCGTGTGAATAATTTAAGTGATTTTAATTTACTAATTTGATTCAGTGTTATTAAAGTTTTCCCTTCTTTCTCTCTTGCAGGCGAGCGATCCTGGGCAATCCGGACGTCCTCGGTTCGACCGGCTGGTACCAGATGCTGCAGAATGACTTCTGGGGCACACCGCTGACCGATTCCGGCTCGCACGGCTCGTACCGTCCGCTGTGTGTGGCCAGCTTCAAAATCAACTACCTGCTCGATGGCTTCAAACCGCTGGGGTATCATCTGGTCAACGTGCTGCTGCACTGTCTGGCCACGGCGCTGGTCGTCCGGCTGGCGCGGCACATTATCCCCTCGCGGTACGGTGCGGCCATAGCGGGGTTGCTCTTTGCGGCGCATCCGATCCACACGGAAGCTGTGGCTGGCGTCGTTGGGCGGGCGGATCTGACCGCGTGTGTCTTCTACCTGCTGGCCCTGCTCGCCTACATCCGGCACATCCAATGGCGTCAGTGTAGCGACTTACGTCACTGGCTGGCACTGGGGCTCACCATCCTGCTGGCCGCCGCCGCCGTTCTATGCAAAGAAACTGCCGTGACAGCTTTAGTGGTTTGTGCAATTTATGATATCATAAAAGGATACGCCGGTTCCAGAGATAAGGTACGTCTGTACTATTGTGCCACTGTCGGGTTCGGGAATTAGGTAGACGGGTCGGGAATAACGATAGTGCTTTGTGCTTGATGAATTAAATTTGAAAACTCGAGACACAGTTTTGGGTGAAAAGTGGCTTATGCACTTCCACCATCACACCATTACACCATTATACGAATTACATCACGAGTCACAATTACTATCTTTATGTTTTACATTTGATCATTACTTTCCACTACCAAATACGACAGATGACACCCCGCCAGTGGTGGATAAACTAGTTTTGCGGTATGGATATTTAAAAAAAAATCGTCGGTTTCTCTCCAGCATCGCTTCTTGTGGTGAGACATTTTTTCAGTAATAGCGACATATAATATATCGAACAAATTTAATCAAAGCACAAAACTGACATCTGCCATCGTGTTCGCGGAAACTGTAAATCAAAAATTGGAAAAGTTTTGATTTTAGAAGATTTGTTAAGTAACATCCTATCGATTGGCGTACTTGAATTTTAATATCATCTATAAATGACAAAGTTACAAGCGTTCCAAACCTAACAGTATTTCACCACACATATTTTTGACGTCAAAACAAATTTTTGACTCGTGTATCCCTAAAATGTGTCTAGTGAATTTCACCATACATTCTCAAACCGATTTTCCAACAACCCAAACGCGGATGATCAGACCAACTCAAAATAGAGTCGAGACGGCTGAATTTCGTCAAAAGGGAATTTAGTCAAAAGTGAGTTGAACTTTCCTTCCTTTTCCAGAAAAAACTTCTTAAATATGAGAAAAACCGATAAAGGTTTCATTTAGTCTTTTAAGATACCTCTAGACTGTGTGAACCTTTATTGATTTGCCTAATATTAAAAAAAAATTCTGGTAAAGCCCGTATCACTTTTGATGAAATTGGGTCGACTGGACTCAATTTTGAGTCGGTCTAATCGTCCATGCACAATCTAAGGCTGCTCGCCCTCTGATGGTGAGTGCTGTCAGAAACACCGAATTACAAAATTTATTTTAACCAAACTGAATTTCTTCACATTATCCTGGCGTCTCTCCAGAGTACCACAATGCAAAATAGCGTAAAAGAGAGAGAGAGAGAGACCCGCCAGTAGTGGCAAGCTCGCTGCCACAGTACAACAATACCGAGCAAAACACATTTAATTTTAAATATACTTTATTTATATTTTCCACCTTCCTGCCTGAGAGCACACTGCCACTGACATCGGGGAATGCGACGACGCGCGCTCAGGTTCGACGCCTCCGGGGGCAAGTAGGAAAGTTTTGCAGACGCTTCTTAGTTGGCGGGATTTTGCCTGCCGCTCACCGCTTCCAGCTCGGAATTGTTCTCCAGCGGTTGGCGGTGTTTTGCACAATTGCAATTCCTCATCCTATCAGGGACAGCGCAGCGGAGGTCGGATGCAGGATTGCTTTGTACTAGCTGACTGACTGAGCCAGCAAAGCAGCATACTGTTCCCCAGCGATGTGGGTGGCACTGTGCTATATTTGTTCTCGTTAATATTGAATGGAAATTGTCTGGAAATAAGCTGACACGGGGCTTTCTGCATTTGTAATGTCGAATGTGAGTGCTAGGAAAAATAATGCTTTTACATGATGCACATGTTGCATAATAGAGCACCGCATCTCGGAACGCTGAACTCAAAACCGACAAAGCACTATTGGCTTTTCAAAAGCTATTGCATGCTCCTTTCAAGACTAGCTTAGTTTATCGAAATTCGATCATCATTCAATTTCTCCGTCGAACTTTAGCTTTCAACATCATTGTTCACGTACTACTCAGTGGAGGCCACGGCACACAGTCGAGTGCGTTCAATCACTTGCCGACGCTCCAAGTGCGGTGGTAGAAGCGAAGTTCTACCGAATACGGAACGGGTGAATAAAGCCAGTCTTGAGCCATCGAAACGTCTAAGCTCCTAACCCAGTCACCCCGGGGTAGATAGCTATGTACAGCTACATTCCGCAGCCACCGCACACACAATCACTGATTGACTCCGGGAGGAGATCACGGGCCCAATATCATCGGGGGTGGTGGTGGCGTACCGCATACGTCGTCATACCCGACGTAGTTACCAAACCTGAATGGGTTTCAATTTGATTTTTTTTTTGTTGCACAGCGTCGGCTCAACTTGGATGTTGAACGGGGCGCTTTTCATCTGTGAGTGAAACTAGCAACCACAAGGTACCTTCGCACAATGAAGTGAAGGTAAATCCAAGCGAAAAGCATTCATTTGGTGGGTTAGAGCTGAATCACAGCTCTAAATTGGAATCCGTCCTGGGTCTTGGATGGCTCGGTAGAGACTGGTCCAGGAAAATATTTGGGCTGTGTGTGGTGTTAGGTAACGATTCCTGCAGCGACGAGAAAGTGATTCTGCAGAGTGATATGTGTTTGAACACTGTCGCTGAGACTTGAAACAAACTGAGTATTTGACTTCCTATATCATTTCCATCGTACAGTATAACAGACTCAATGAATGACAGATCATGAAATTTATATAGGTTATGATTCCGATGAGCAGTGAAAAATGTATGGCACTAACCAAGATCCCAGACAACCGGAAGTCGTATAACAATGTATAGACAGTATCGTAAATTGCTACAGTTTATGTCCACATCGCATATAAGAATGACATACATTGAATTATTTTTAAGTTAAATCTTATAGAATGCAAATTTGCGACTTATTTCCGATGAATCATTTTTCCATCCTACTGTATCACAAATTAATTGGATTGAATCGTAAGACTCTCTTTTTTTTTTTCTTCTTTGATTTGTTTTCCGTCGATCTTGTTTTCCGTGCTGAGCACCAATGCTACCGACGCCAGGGAGGCAGCTATCACGCCTGGACCCTACCTATCGACCCATCAACTCATGAACCGGGGACCAACGGCTTTACTTCCCATCCGAAGGAAGGCGTGATCAGAGATGTTATGCCTCAGAGATCCCGGCGGCGCCGACTGGGATTGAACCCAGGCCTGCTGGGGTGAGAGGTAATCACGCTTACCACTACACCACCGGCGCCGCTGTAAGACTCTCAAATTATATTTGTTATTACAGATTAATCTGTAAATTATGTTAAAGTGACTCGTTCAAAATAAATTATAATGTGCACGTAGGGGAAATGGATGTAATGTCGGCCTAAATCCTCCTAATATGGGCCCATGCATAAATTCAGCAGCCGACCAAATTTTCAATAGCGACCAAAAATATACATAAGTACCGTCCCAATGACGCGTTCATCTAGATAAAATTGATAAATAACAGATTTTTAGCGATGGGCTCAATCTTAGATCCATAGGCCAACATTAGAGCCATTTCCCCTACATGATTTGTTTGTTGAAACAACTTTTGAAAATTCGTGCATTTTGGTGGTCAGGGATCAGTTTCAAAGCATTACGGTAGCAGGGCAAGCAGTTGAGAAAGTCGAAAGTTTACAATATCTTGGCAGCCAGATAGCGTCAGGCGGTGGAGCTAAGAGCGACATACCGCATGCGTGATAATTTTTTCATCATTGAGCAATGTCAAAATTTAAAAAAATCATAAAAATTTCGTTTTCGAGTTTTTTTTTATTTATTCTAAGGGGAGATGTTTCTCAGAGTCTTAAACTATGTTAATCATCGATCAAGTTTCCACTTGCTGCAATTACGGCCGCCACACGCTTCCGGAATGCACGGCAGGTTCTAATAATGTAGTCTGGATCCATTTCTCTCTTGTCTGAGGCTTGCTGTACACTGGTGGCATTTAGAACAGGCCTTGGCCTTCATGACGCGCCATATTGAGTAATCCAGCGGATTAAGATCGGGGCTGGATGGCGGCCACATATCCTTCGCCCAGAACGGAAGATGTTCCTGCAACCACTTCTGAGTGCGGTTCGAGGTGTGGCACGCAACATTTTGCTTCGGACCGTACTGTTCTTTGATCCACGGAAGAACATACTTACTTAAAATCCCGATGTAGAACTCCGTGTTGACCTTGTCGCCTTCTGGAATGAACACCGTGTCTATTTTTTGCCATCGGAAGCCACCAATTCAAACACCATAACGCTAGCAGGATGCTTGGTCAGAGTGCTCGTCGGCCACGTCTTTTACCGGAAGAGAACTAATATACCGGTCGGTTCTGGAATTTGATACGGGATCGACGGTAAACATGCTCTCGTCGGTGAACAGGATTATCGGAAGAAAGTTCAAGATTTTCTTACATCGTTCGACTCGTAGCTCCCGGATGCGATTGGTAATCATGTGAGTTTTTTTCGTGCCCTCGACTTCACCCCGCAATCTTCCTCTACGATCTTCCGTGCCGTAAAGTCACTGATTCCGTGTTCTTTTGCCATTTTCCTTATTGAACGCACTGGATTCACCCGAATCTTCCTTTTGATAGCACCGAAAACCCTCGGAACCCGAGCTGACCTCGGACGACCTGTGGCCACCTTCGCGGATAGTTGTCCTTTCTTTTCTCGGTCTAAAACCTTTTTGACGGTCCACCGGGACGCTGCCACGTCGTCATGGTGCAACTGTCAAACTAAGTAAATCATTTTCTTTTATACACAGCCTTCTACCATAGAGGTAACTCTAAGACCAGAAGGTCCCGAAGAAACGTGCTCAACTTTTTGGCTCAGCTCTGGTACTACATATCTCCGGTCCTAAGCTAATCGATGCACCCCTCGAAACATAGGAAAATCCACTAACCCCTCATTTTATCTGTCAAACTTTCATAGCGAATCAAAACAAACATAGTGTAGTACTGGAATTTATACTAGAATGGGGTACGTTAGTCGATTTGCTTGGGACCAATAGGCTAGTCAAGTAGTGAGCCAATTTAAAATCGTTAGTTTCGTATTGATTGTTGCTACTACGGTATGAGCTTTGGGTACGTTCATGCAAAGAAAATCAAGGCATTGTATGCACAGGTGAAACGGGAACCTTATTTGTACGATGGTTCAAACATTATCACGCATACGGTAGGTGCACGAATCAAGAAGGCTACTTT